CCACCTCCGGTATTTTGCCGGTTAGTCGACGCGAGCAAAATGAAGTCGAGGATTTTAAAAAATCGAATAGTCTAATAAAATCGACGAATCGCGACAGCCCTAAAACTAATAAAATTGTAGATATATGCACATTTATATAAATTAGAAACAAGCAAACAAAAATCAAATATAAATTAATATCAGCCCATTGATAGAGTCATAAGGGCCTTTCGCACCGCTTTAGTTCCAGAACTAAATGTACAGTACTAAAGTACTGGGACGATTTACATTTGCTACAAGTGCCTGCACTTCAGCGTCCGTCCATCTATCGCTGTTCTCCATACTTGCGAAATAAGTTGACACAATGTTTACAGTATGTTTACACGGCGTTTTAAATCATGGTGGGTGAGGGCGTTTTCATACGCGTTTGGCCAATCAGTGTCTACTTACATCACGATTAGTACCAGTTGTGCCGGTTAGACCCTGCTCCGGAGTAGGAGCTAATTTGGTTCTCGAAAAAGGCAGTCCGGTACTAAAATCGCACCCAGTTCCGGCGGTGCGAAAACGCCAAAAAGTGGGTAGTTCCACAATTAGTTCTGGTACTATGAAAAGGTTCCCGCGGTGCGAAAGGCCCTATAGACAGGTGCTTACCCAGCATTCCTCCAGCCACCAGGATGTCGAAGAGTGTCTCAGCATACCGGCGGTAGTCGAGCTTGGCGCCGGAGGCATCGAGGAACTTTGCAACCGCTTCCAAATCTGTGCCAGTTTGGTTCAAGCCTTGAACAATACTTTCTTGAAACTGAGAAGGGTCAAATCTCTCCTTTTCATCTGTGAGGAAACAAGAGTGTTTCAAATGGGAGGCACCGCTTTCAAACATTGCTATTAAAAGTTCCTCAGTCTACTTACCTCTTTTCCGAGTTTTAAAACGCTGGCCGGTAAGCGTTGGCTTTTGCTGCTTTTGATTATTCATAAAAGACACCTGTGAAAACACAATGAAAATATTAGTGAACATATCTGTGTTCTGATTCATATCATTGAGGAGCACGAAGAAACCACATGTAGATGTGGCAGGACATTTCAAAACCCAACAAAGCCATCAAAAAGTTTCTAACAGAAAATTAGCAAAATAACACCTTAAACTTCATAAACGACTTAAACATTTAATAACTGGTTTAATTGCAGATCCAGTTAAACCATTAGTAATTAATCCAAGTCAGGTTGCCTCGTGAGCAAATCATACACACGTTAATATTTCTCATATAAAACCCAAGTCATGCTTTTATATGGATATATATTGCTGTATAAAAGTATTTAATTGAATTAGTATGATTTTATAGGTCTGAACTGCAACTCACGCGCCGGTCTCGCGCTAAAGCTAACCGGCTAAAATGATGAGGCCTAACCGGTCCTAATCTTGTTTAAAACCAACCTTTAATCACTATTTAAAAGTATTTCCAATTCAAACGAGGACGATGCTAATGATTAATAGAGTATATATATATATATATATATATATATTAATTAAAAAATAAAAAATAAACACAGAAAGGACCAAAATGTTCTTGTTTTTATTTAATTGCCATCACGTCGCGAGCTCCGCCATCATGATTTAACAGCTGATCACAAACGTGAGCCCAAAAACGGCCATCCTTTAAAAACAAGGGTTTACAACAACTCAAGACATAAAATATATGGAGGACTTACCGATATGAATGCAGATAAAAAACGGCTTTTTGAACCCAAGAACAAAGCAAGACAATGGCAAGTCCGAACCCAACACACAAAACCCTCCCTGATGGCAAGAGAAGAGACTGCTGCTGCGCCAGTGCGCCTGCGCGGAAGAAGAACGGGGAAAAAAACAATGGATCGGTCCATTATAGGGGAGTGCGGGGCTTAGAGAGGTGGCTTGTTGATAAAATCACGCAAACTGTACATTTAAAACTATCATTTCGCCTATTTAAGTACTTACAATATTATAAAATATGCGTAGAGTTACTAATTTGCTCGTGTTTCTGCTTATGTGGAAGTGTAAAAAACAGATCACCCCTCTCTGCTGACAGTGATTCGTAAGCCCGATGGCTCTGGTCATACCCATAGACTGTAAAAAAACATACCATTGTAATGAGAGATGTGATTTCTTTATCGCCAAGGGCAAACCATAAAAGCATTCAGTTCAATGGGGTCAACTCGCAAACATATTTTTGGAATTTTCTCGTAATTTATATTTTGGAGTTTATGCTAAATATATGACTTTTATACTTTAAAATAATACAGGCATGATTTCACTCTGACACTTTGATTAAAGGGGGGTACAATGATGTTTCATGCATTCAGAGTTGTTTACATTTACGTTTAGTCATTTAGCAGACGCTTTTATCCAAAGCGACTTAAAAAACACTGTTAAAGAGTTGGATTCTCATGCTAAACATGGCCAAAGTAAAAAAACAAACAAAAAAAAATGATTTGGACGTATAACATATAGTATTTCTGTGCCAAATACACACTTCCGGGTTTCTTACAAGTTTCTGAAAGTTTTTTTCCATCGTGGCTCTTCATGACGTAATGAAGGGTGGAACTCCTTATATGGGCATTTCTCCCAGAAGAGCACGCCCGCGCACACATTGACCAGAGCCAGAACAAGAGCACACCCATCAATGCGCTTCATTCAGCAGCCCTGCACGGGACTCGCTCGGGAAGAATGTCTCTAAAGAGGTGTTTTTGGTTGTAAGGGAAAGATAACCTTGTTCAGCTTCCTGAAGAATTAGTGATGGGAAACTGAGGCTATTTGAACCGTTTGAGGCTTTCATCAAATTGTGCCAAAAAACGGTTCACAATTTTTTATCACGAAGCTTTTTAACACAGTGCGCATTAGCGACATCTGGTGGTCAGACTCCAGCCTATAAGGCCCTTTCCACACGAACACGGTTATTTTTTAAAACCGCCGCTTTTTCTACGCGGTTTGGCCGTTCGTCCACACGCAAATGCAGCACCAGGTCACTGAAACTGATTTTTGTAAACGCCTGCCAGGGTGAAGATTTTCAAAAACTCCGGTTGCAGTGTTATCGTGTAGACAGCGAAACCGGAGTTTGTGGCTTGTGATGTCGGAGCCTGCGCTGTTATCTCCGTCTACTGGAAACTTTTTCAGGCTTCTGATTGGCCAACATGGCTTTACGGTTTAGATTATATCGCCACCTGTTGGTTTGGCATGCTCTTGACAGTGTTTCATAGCATGCGTTTGCCTTTTCGTGTGGACGGAGATTTTTTTAAAAACGGAAGAAGGAAAAACTCAGTTTATAAAAATACCTGTGTATGTGTGGACATGGCCTAATGAAACATCGCGGAGCAGAGGATGGTTTGAAAAAGTTTTTAATCTGTGCCAACTCGTGTCACGTGAAGTCCAGTCAATGGATTCACATATTGATCAATAATATAAAATATACACGTGTGTGATTATAATTAATAATTGACGTGAGTAGTAGCAAAAATATTTTGGGTGAGATGTTCGGGGTCTCTGAGACCCCAGCTAGAACATGATAAAATGCAATGGAGGTGTGACGTGCATTCAGTTTCTGTCTGGTGTTGAGGTTATTCTAAACTATTCTACTGAATCCCAAATAAGTGTACACACACACACAACAAAGTCAATGTAAAGTCAAACACAAGAGTCATGCGAAGCGACGATTTTTTTCAAACCAGCTGATACTGCAGGATGTTCAAAGCTTCAAACGTCATCAATCACATGATGTTGTCATTTCGATACAAGCATCGGCACAGTGTGTGATACATAGTGCTTTGAAAACTGCCTCGGTATCAATCGTCCCATCACTAATCTTTTCTTTAACCCACAACATCTGGCCCAGAATTCTTTATTTTTTATAGTAAAATTACGTGGGATTTCATGTCACACGATTAACTGGGCAACCTGAAGTGGG